ACTATTAGAAAGGCACACAACTGTAATCCCAGCAGCTTGAGAGACTGAGACAAGAGGATTCTAAATTCAAAGCCAGCCTCAGCAACTTAGGCCCTAAGCAACTTGGCAAGACTCTGTCTCAAAATAAAAAATTTTTAAAAAGGGCTGGGGATGTGGCTCAGTGGTTAGGTGCCCCTGGGTTCAATCCCTGGTACCCTTCCCCAAAAAAGTGTGTGTGTGTGTGTGTGTGTGTGTGTGTACACATACATATACATGTGTTGAGAGCCACAGTTTAGTCAGAATGACGCCTCGCATTTTGCTAGAGGGAATGGTTAAAAGGTGACCCTGCTCTGGGATTAGGGAAGCTTGGGGATTAGGGTGGATCCTGCTGCCTTGGGCTCTGCTACTTTGGAGTTCCCATTGAGTTCTCCAGCAGAGCCCAGCAGAGGGAATGTATTCCCGGGAAGTGTGTGTAGAGTGCCAGTGAGAGTTCAGGAATAAAGAGTTGCTGTTTGAACCTACAAGGCTTTGTGGCGCCTCGGTTATTTTGTGCCCAGACAACTGCGGCATATATGTACACACTACACATTTAAGTATTTTGTTTAATGTGCAAATTGGCCTACAAATATGGCATTATTTTGCACTTGATTTTGTCTTTTAATAAAAATAAAAATAAAATTAGCATGTATAAATAAGGTCCATCACAACACTAGTTTGTCCATCACCATTTGTAAATACAAAATAAAGAAATATATCAAAACTAAGTTCATTTGCTTTTTCACATAAAACATGTAAGGAAGCAGCAGCATTTTTGCCTATATAACCATTTCATGGCACATTAAGCTTAGGAACTGAAGGTTTAAATGGCATCTATAGGTAAGCCTTCAAATTCCACTTAGGGCATTTCTCTTGGCTACAAATGTGACAGAGAGGGACTGTTAATGCTGATATCATATCTGCCTTTTACCAGTCATACATAATAGTTTTCTCACTTAAAACATACAAAGAGCTCCATTACAGTCCTGACTGCAGGTAAGTATTCAATTTCTAACAACTTTGCTTACTATTTAGCATACAGATAATTGGTGTTAAATGAACCAGACTAGGAGTATCATTCAGAATATATTTCAAGATTTTTTCTTGGCATTACATATAAAAACTTCAATTTATGGCTGTGCATGTTGGCTGGTGCACACCTGTAACACCAGTGACTTGGGAGGTCAAGCCAGGAGGACTCCAAGTTCAGAGCCAGGCTGGGTAATTTAGCAGGACCCTGTCTCCAAGTAAAAGATAAGGGATGGGGATATAGCTCAGAGGCAGACTGCCCTGGATTCAAAACCCCAATATTGCAACAAAAGAAGAAGAGCAGCAGTAGGAGAAGGAGTAGGGGGAGGAAGAAGAAAGTAGAGGGAGTATATATATGCACAGGTTATGTGGAAATTCTACCTTTTATGAGGGACTTGAGCATCCTTGGTATTCTAAACCAAGGTGGTTCTGGAACCAATCTTTCAAAAATTCCTAGGAAGGACTGGTCAGAACTTTTCAGTACTTAAAACATCTAAAGGGCTTTCAATGGAATTTCCAACTTGTACCTTTCAATTGTTTTCTCCAATAATAAAAGCAAAGTTTGCCACATGAAGATAATTAGAATTGGGATGTGACAATAAGTTCCAAAATTGTAACAGTGGTCCAAAAAGTAAAAAGAGCCATCAAAACATAAAACATACTACAGAATAAGTCATACTAAGTAGATGTAGCTTGATAATACCTGCTAAAAATGGAGACTTCAGTGCAGTTTCTAACAATCTAAGTACTATAAATAGATGACACATCCTTGAGTTGAAAGGGGTATAACAGAGCTAAATTCTATACTATTATATATTGTGATAGTAAGTCAGTGAATAAAATCTAACACTGGCAAATTAAATTATAATAGTAACAAAGGACAACTCCATCCCTCATGAAACTTAAAAATTATAGGGGGAAAAACAGAAATAAAATGTACAATAAATCAGTGCTACAGAGAAAAACAAACAAATGCAGAGAGACAGGGAGTGTGGTAACCAGGGAACTCCTTGGTGATAAGAAGACAAAGGAAATAAGAGAACAAGTCAGGGAGATAATTGAATAAAAGGAGTTCCAAGCAAATGTAACAGCTAAGTGCAAAGACTCCATGGCCAGAGCAGTTTTGTTTTCATACTATCTACATTATAAATACTTTGAAAACATCTGCGATTTTTACAGTGATTACTTCACTTAGTGAAGAAAAGATTCATTCACATGTTAAAGATCTTTTTCCTTTAACTAAATGAGCAAAAATATAGCTTCAGTAAAATGATAAGACATGTAGAATAATCAATAGTTTTCAAAGCTAAAGTCTCTCAAAAATAAAAATGTTACTTCCTCATTCTTACTATATTCAAGCTTCAAGACTCAATCAGAATCTTCTCCCTAAATCAAGTTTCAGTCACAAAAAGTCAAAGGGCTGGGGTTGTAGATCAGTGGAAGTGCACTTGCCTAGCATGTGTGAGGCACTGGGTTAGAGTCTCAAAACCATATATAAATAAATAATATAAAGGTCCATCAACAACTAAAAAATATTTTTTTTCAAAAAAGTCAAAGCAAAAAGTACTCACATATAAGGGAGGGAGGAACTAATGCATTAAAATGGAATAAAGATTAGAAATTAGTAAATATTCTAGAAGTAATCTCAGCAACTCTGAAGGCTGAGGTAGTAGGATTGTAGAGGCCAGTCTTAGCAACTTAGCAAAACCCTGCCTCAAAATTTAAAAACTAAAATAACGAAATAAAAAGGTCTGAGAATGTAGCTCTGTGTAAGAGTGCTCCTGGTTCAATCCCCAGTACCACAAAATAAGTAAGTATGTTAGTAAATAAATAAACATGTAAATAAATGAATATTTTTTAAAAAGGTACCTTAGGAAAATTACTATAAAATATTACTGTAATAATTGAAAGACATACATGAAATGTAAACAGCTAACAATCACAGACATAAAAGCTATAAAACACATTTTCTGCCAAAAAAGATCAACAGTGTCCACTGTTCCATAGTATTACAAAACAGCAACTCAATGGTTAAGTAATAAAAGGCTTTGAATACCATTGATTATTTATCTCCCAAAAACTAGCTTGTGAAATACTTACCCCAGGTCTTTTATGTTAGTGCATATAACAAGAAATGAAACACCTGTCCAAAAAATGATTCATAAACACACATAGAAATATGGCATAATGAATCCCACTATTATGTGTAACTACAAAGTGCCAATAAAAATTTTAATTTAATTTTAAAAAGAATAAGTGATTTTCAAATTTGCACAAAGTATTATTTATGCAATTTTTATGTAAGGGAATCAACTCTTTCAAGTAACAGTGTTTTAAATTAATAATTACACGCAAGTATATTTAGTCAAAGTAATGTGCTATTAAGAGCAAAGTTACGAAAAAATTACTTTTTGCTTTTCTAGGCTTACACCACTTCATAAGCAAAATAAGCAAAATAATGTTCATCAAAATTCGTGTCTATCATAACACAAGTCAAAACAAAAAGTGATCCATAACTGCCCCCATAGTTTAGTAATGGTTCGAAATGGGAATTTGTTTCAACTTCCTCTTTTATACCAATAGGAATCTAAGCTCCTCCCAAGGTGACTTTGAGCATGCAATTGTTAAGCATAGTATGATGATCTTATCACAGGAAAGATTTAACTTTTTGGTTTGAAATTTTACACTTAATTCATCTGAACTGAGTAATCTTCTTGAACTGTTTCTGTAGTACAACACTGTACAAGATGTTGTTCAATTGGTGGTATTCCTGCTGCTGTTGATAAATCAAAAAGTAATGTTTTAAATGTCAGCTAAGACGAGCATATAATAACTGAATCTCTTTAAAGTGGAACTTCTTTTTAAGTTCAAAAATGTATGCTAAATCACTAAAACTGACAGATTCAACAATATATCAAAATACAGTTGGTTATTAACTGGCAACAGAAGTTACAATAGTCCTTTGAGGAAGCCTTTGAAATAGGAATGATTAACATCTAAAACTGTACCAGTTAAGAAACAAGGTATGATGATGAACACAGTACAATAAGATACCCACGTGGTAATGCTTTCCAAGGAGTGCTCTCCAAAAAATACAGAGCAAGAAGAAATGCAGCATCTAAAATGATCTGCAAGTGGAGCACGTTTCAAAGCTCTCAGATTTACATTATCTCACTTGACAATCACAGCAATCCTGTGTCCTAATTTTATGAATGAAAAAAACTAAGAATCAAAAGGTTAAGCAACTTGCCCAAGGTCACTCAAGAAATTAGTGATGCAGCTACACCTAGAAGGGTGCACTTCACCTGACCCTTTCCACTACATCACCCCGCCTCTCGACTGTGGCATTATGACAGGAGAAGAGCAAGGATCAGATTCATATGTTAACCCACACTACTCCTGCCTACCAATGAGGCGCAGGCTTCCCTCTTAAAGCAGCTCGCCAGAAATAAGTTGTGACCAAGAGGCAGGCCACTGATCAGCCCAGCGAAGTGACAAGGCTCGACATGCACAGCCCCCCATAAACCAGTATGCATTCCCAGGAGCCCCTCCAGACTCGGCGCCGACAAGACTGCTCACGAAAACGTCTGAAAACCTCCCAGTGAGTTTCGCCCCCTCCTGGACTCAAGGAAAAAGCTGGATGTGAGCCAGAGGGCGGCCAGCCACCGGAGCCAGCCATGTGTCCAGCCCGTCACGCCCGCCTCGCCCGGGCCGGCTCCTCACGCCTAGACCGTAGCCAGAGGCCCAGCTCGGAATCAGACGCAAAGGCAGCCTTGGCGGCTGCCACCTCCACCACATCAGCCTGAGGCGTCCCGGCTTGGCACTGCCGTCAGGTCTCCACCCGACCCCTCCATATGGGCCCCTTGGCTACACCGTCCGCGCTTCTGGACAGGCCGGGAGGGCTCTGCCTGCCAGAGTCAGCCCGCCCGCCGCCGCCGCTAGCCGGGCGTCCTTACTTCATTGAGCTGGCGCTCCGCGGCCTCGCGCAGGGCTGGGTCCATGGTGCCCCGTAGGGCCTCGATAATGGTATTGGGGTCCATTGTAGCGCGGACTCGGTCAAACCCGGAGCACGGATGCTACTGGGGCAAGAGTAGCGCCACTCACTGCGCACATGGACCCGCCGCGCTCCGCAGCGGCAACCGGCGCGAAAGGAAAGAGAAGCGCCAAGGCCCCGGATAGAACCTCTTCGCCTCGGTGTGGAGGCGGGAGATGCTCCGGCCACTTCCTGTCGGCGCGCCAGCGGAGGGCTTTGGGAAATGTAGTCCGCGGACGCAGACGCAGCCCACGTGGCTGGCGCCTACCGATGAGTCCTGCTCTTCGAGAAAAAAACGTTTAAACCACGGAAAGAAAATTAAGACAATGAGTTACAAAGATTTCATATAATATACCTAGGGAATCTGATACAATGTTTGATGCAATCCTTGTAATAGCTGTATAATCAAAGGAATTTTTTTTTTTTTTTTTGGTGAGGGTGGCGGGCATTGGGGATTGTACTCTGGGGCGCTTTACCACTGAGCTATGTTCCCAGTTTTATGTATTTAGTTGTTTCATTTTAAGACAGGGACTCGCTAAATTGCTGAAGTTAGCCGCCAACTTGCAGTCCTACTACCTCAGCTTTCTTAGTCGCTGATGATACATGTGTGTGCCACCATGCCCTTCTGAATTAACTTTTTTGAAAAGCAATTTGAGATGTATTTTTAAATGTAAAAAAAAAAAAGTTTATACTCTGTGACCCAGTAATCCCATTTATGAGACTGTTTATGCTAAGGAAACATTATAATACAAAATGTTAAGCTTTATGTGTGAATGCTATTTTTCACATTACTTTTTTTGTAATTACAAAATACTGAAGTAATAACGTCTATTGAATATCCATGTTTGCCAGGACTTTTTATAAATCACCTCTAAATGCAGAGTAAAAGTGTAGGCCCTAGTAAAATCCATCTTCAGGGCTGGGGTTGTGGCTCAGCTGTAGAGCGCTCTCCTGGCAGGTACGAGACCCTGGGTTCCAACTTCAGCACCACATACAAAAATAAACAAGTGAAATAAAAGTGTTGTGTCCAACTACAACTAAAAAATAAATATTTTTTTAAAAAAATTCATCTTCATTCATCAAAGCAGTTTCAGAAAGATTTAAAAACGTTTACAAGATTACTTAACCAGAGGTTCAACGATGCTTTCCAACAAAGATCTGCTTTCAAAGTTTTCCTTCTCTCCACTGAAAAACTACATCTCGAGAAATGTTTAACAATATGAAAATGGTTGAACAAATTATAAGAATCCAGTTAATTAAATATGTCACAGCCATTAAAAATTGCAAATATTGCTGGATGCAGTGGCACACACTTTCAGCCTCAGCTACTTATGAGACTGAGGCAGGATTCCTTGTGCACAGAAGATGAAGTCCAGTACCCAGGGCAACTGGGGAGACACTGCCCTTTTCCCAGATTACAAATATATACTTTGTATCACCAGGAAA